TGGTCGGCCGACAAGCGTTGGAGAAAATTGGCTTTTCAAAATTTTTCGTAATTTTTCATATTTAGTTATTCTCACTATTCTTTGCAATTGATTACACACCTGTGAAGGGGTATACTTCCTGCATGCTAGACTGATTCTCTGACCTTACAATTCCCCAACGTGTATTAATTGCTCCGTTTCAGGGAACCAGTCTACAGAACATGACTGGTTTTCTTGGGTTTTTTTTCAGCATCTACAAGCTCAAAACGTGAAACAAATCAATTTAACCATATTTTCTATAACATACTAATCTTCCAAATCCATTTATTTCTGAAAATTACAGCAAAAGCAAATGTTGTACATTCCCTTTAAAATGATTTTGAAAATACACTAGGTTTGACTGCAGTTAAGAGCGCTCATGCTGTTTTAATGTCACGGCATGCACTCTAGGGGCATTTTGGGGTTCTACCTCACTCCAAACATTCTACAATAAGGACATTTCTTGTTGAACTTTTTTGAAAACCCAAAATGTGGCTCATTGAAAGCATATACATGTACATGCATTATGTACATCAAGTGTACTCATCAGCTTTACTCGTTCAGGGCATATACCTATATCTGAAACGACTCAGAAAATATGACAACGCGGCAGAGAGCTGGACATCATGGGGGGGGGGGGGGGGCTCAATGCGGATGAGAAAGTTCGATCTTACCCAGCCACCTACTGGTGCGGACTACCGCTAAATACGTTCGATCGTACCCCGCCCTGCAAACAGGGCGCTGGGAAGGGCAGATAAGCTTCACAGAATCTTGTGAAGGAAGTTGGGATGGCATTCTGGGTAATTTATCATGACCTATGTATGAAGCATCTGGCTGCAGCAGTAGACCGCGGTTAGCCAATGCGCGCAAATACTTTCCCAAAAGTTTGCTATAGAAATGCATGCACACCATAGGCTACCGGATGTGATTTTTTTTCATTGCGGACCATGTGGACAAATTTTGAGCGTCATTAATGATATGCATTTGAGCAACTGACGGGAGTTGAAAATGTACAAAACAGATAAGTTTTACAGATTTTCCTAGATTAGTATGCTTTTCAACCAAAAAAGGGCGCCGCATTTATGAATGGGAATACAAGATTTTTACTTCTTTATGCACGAGCAGCTGGAGTTTTAATTATTTATTTTTAACTTATCTCCAAAGAAAGTGAAGAAATTTTCACTAAGTTATATTTGAACAGTTTCAATAAAGGCCAATGACAAAACTATAGTTCCTGTCGTGTGTTCCTCTTCATCACCGCCCAGTGGCGTATTCATGCCGAATAGCCGGTGTAGCGTAAATATCCGACTCCATGAAAATACTGAACTCGTTGGTAGTTGCGCGTGATCACGGTACGACAATTAGGAGAGTGACGGGTCACGTGCGAGGGATTAACCAATAATGGGGAAAAGAAGTCCGATTTTCAAAGGAGTCGGATTTTTATATCGATATGATTTACCTTTCTTTAATAGTTGACATAATTTCCAGCGCCTTGAGTACCTAATTGTTGGTAGATACGTGCGCTGTATGAGACTCCGTTATTGTTATTGTTTTAATATTGATTAATGCCCACACTTCACAGTCTTTTAAAAATACTCGAAACTCTCACAGGTGATCAGGATCTACAGAAAAATGATGATCAACATGTCATCTTTTATTTACTTTTCAATCTTTTGTGGGTTGACCATTGACTTTTTGAGATATTCTCACTCAAAGAAGAACACCCCTAAAATGAATGATGTTTCCCAACTGGAAAAGTAGCCATTTTGAAAAAGAAACCCTTCACAACATGGCTTAATAGCGCCACTTTCAAGCCCAATCATCCAAAATGCTCAGAATTGGAAGCCCCAAGTCCGGGCCATAGGTATATTGCCATTATGTCTTCAATTCTTCAATATTCCATGGCCCTGAGAACTCTCAAATAAAGCATATTTTGAGGGTATAACTTTTATTCATGAGCTCGGTGGACGTTTTTTTGGCCTATTTACAAGCGTGCAATCCGTCAGGAACAACGTCTAGGGAAATTCGTAAAATCTCTCCCTGAAAAATTGGGGAAATAGTGCGCATGCGCTACTTCTGCGGGCAATTACGGTCCATTTTCAGTCCCACGCACGCCACACCGCAAAAGAGCCGACCAGTGACGTTGCACAAAAGTCTTGCTGCATCTTTCATGCTACTGGAAGAAATTGAAGCGTTTGGTTCGGAATTACCATGAAATGTTTTGAATGCGGGCTGCATATAATAGGCCAAACAGGTGCGCGCGCATTACACAACCGATACGAATTTCCCCAGACGTTGTTCCTAATCTGACGATTCGTTGGTGATATTGGTTGGTCGTGATAACGCCCTCTCGCGGTGGCGGGTTATCGCGGCGACTGGCTATCGCGCATCAAACGGTAGCATAAAAAGTTTGAGGGTAGAGTGGGTAATGAATATGCATACCATGACGTCACACAGCCTTATTCGTGTCGTCACACTCGCGCGAAAATAATTATGATCATCGGTAAGTGGGGCGACAGTATAGGGTGGCGGCGCGACAGTAGAAAGAAGACTTGTTAAATGTGATGATCATCGGTAAGTGGGGCGACACTAGAGGATGGTGGCGCGACAGTAGAAAGAGGACTTGTTAACTGTGATGATCATCGGTAAGTGGGACGACACTAGAGGGTGGTGGCGCGACAGTAGAAAGAGGACTTGTTAAATGTGATGATCATCGGTAAGTGGGGCGACAGTAGAGGGTGGTGGCGCGACAGTAGAAAGAGGACTTGTTAAATGATTATCGGTAAGTGGGACGACACTAGAGGGTGGTAGCGCGACAGTAGAAAGAGGACTTGTTAACTGTGATGATCATCGGTAAGTGGGACGACACTAGAGGGTGGTGGCGCGACAGTAGAAAGAGGACTCCACTAAACGCGAATACATACATTAAATGGGGCGACAGTACATGTACATGTACAGTTTAATTTTATTTTTTTCTGGGGGAGGATGGTCTCACACCGTCCCAACACCCCTATTCGGTTTCCCGAGGCTTTGACGCTCACTGTTGGTCCGGGCTCCCCCCCCCGCCCCTTATAAACCGCTGAACAGGGGTTTTGCTCGTTTTTGTCCTAATAACTGAACTCTGTGGTGGCCGTAAACAATGATCACGCTGCATGCAGTACATACAGTGCATCTATACACGTACCGTGATATATTACTCATGAGCTTCTAGTGACGTCATAGTCATGCATATTCATTACTCGCTCTACTCTCGAACTTTTTTTATGCTACCCCATCAAACCATAACAACGTCTAGCCCTTGACTACCAAGGTTGCAGACCAGTAAAATGAACTGCCATAGACCCCAGTGATAATACACGACGAATTCCAAAATTCAGGAAAAATATTCACAACTCTCACAGGTACTTGAAACGAACATTAAAGCTCATTTCATGATCTTCCATTTTCAGACCTTTTACTGGTCTGCAACTTTATGGGCTAGACGTTGTTATAGTTTGATACGTTTTCTAATCGCGGTCAATTCAATTCAATTCAATTCAAATTTATTAGCGCCGTTTCGCAGCTGAAGCTGAATTACAGGTGTTTACAATAAAAATATTATAATTATGTAAAACATTATATGTAACACATTAAAATTGAGAACATTGTTATATACGCAAAAAAAATTTCAGAAGTTGAATTTGCAATAAACAACATTACAAGATTACGTGACAGCTGGCCAAGATTATTACATTAATGAGAGAAAAATGTTACATTATTACATATACATGTACTGGAATAAGATTGAAACTGAAAACTTGCACCGGTTATTGTTGATTCAGAAGTTTTCGTGAGGTAAGGAATGGAACTGTTACCGTATCTCTTGGTATTGATCTGGGAAATGTGGTAAAAAGGAGTGTGTCGTAGGCTCCTATTACAAGAGCTTTTGTTGTGAGGAAACCATTCAGCGTATTGCTTGGAAGTCGTGCATCTGGAAGCAAATGGCAACAAAGGTGAAGACGTCTCTCTTCAAGCGTCTGGACACCCATGATGGCTACAGTCTCAGTGTACAATGTATGTGTATTGCCAAGGATAATGTGGCGGGCCCTTTTTGGATTTTTTCAATTTGCTGCGTTTGGTGGGAGTTGATGCTGCTATGCCACACTGGTGCAGCATACTCAACAGCAGGGCGCAATTATATCATGTATATCCAATGTACACCGAGATCAAATCCGCCACAGGTACACCAAAGCACTTCAACCGGCTGAGCATAACCGACGGCTACTGTTAGTGATCATGGTATTGACCTGCAAGTCACAGCATAGATTAGACTGTATTGTGAGACCAATTGGAGCTTAGTCTCATTCACCGTCTCAAGCTTTTCTCCAGCAATTTTCAGATCAACTGGGGCGGGAGGATGCTTTTTGGTCGTCCTCGATTTGACTCCTGTCCTCAATAAATCGATGATGCTTCACATGAGTGTGTGTCCTCGATTTATACCATAAGCACGTACAAAATACGACGTTTTTATGCTCAGGAGTATCATGCATGAGTGCAACATCGTGACCTCGCAACGTAAGATTTTGGTTTTGCCATACAATTTATATGGATTTACATGTACAATAATTTAAGATTGACATTTTGTGAGATGTGATCACGGAGTTTCATTACATTTATATTCATACGCTTCAATGAGGCGAATTCATTACGGAATGCGTGAAGGAATATCTCGTGTTGAATTTGAATGTCGTGTCTTGAACCTCGCATGGATCCATTCCAAAATTAGCGCCACCAACGACAAAGCAGTTATACATCCCAGGATGAAGAAGGCCAAGTCGTAGCTTCCAGTCTGGTCGTATATCCAACCTAAAGATGTATTCAAAAGAGGGTACATGTATTTTTGAGAAAAACAACTTTAACAGGGGCCATTCATTTGAATTCTTGACCTTTTGTAACACAACAGGATGAATTTTTCCTTCAAATTTTATTTCCTTGTAGGAGATTGAAAACATGAAACAATTGTGTTGTGAATGTACCGAAGGGGTTGGATTTAGAGCAGAGGTGAATCCTTAGTGCGTGTTTATGGCGTACAACCGAGGACGAGGACCAAACGGGTTCCAAACATTGTCCTCGGTTGGCAGGCTCAATGTCCTCTGTGTGGGACGGATGATTTTCGAAGAAGTTTCTTTTTTACTGCTTGTTTATGTACAGTAAAATTAATTCATACGTTTTGTTTTAGTTCAGAGGAAGTGGCAGTATGTATACACCCTTTTTCTTCTTCCCACGGACCCTTCCTAATTGGTAGCGTCCTCAAGAAAAATAATTATTACTTTCTTGTCGAGTCTTAATAATGTGAGAGGTCGAAAGCGATAACATTTAATCCGCCCCGTTTCCTCGGATGAAAACAAACGAGTGGCTTCCTTAGAGAAAACAATCTTACCTGGGATAAAGCCAAGACAGAAATTTAACATGGCCCCAATCAGATTCATCCAACTGAAGGCACAAGCCAGGAGTTCAACTCCAAGCAGTTCCCTGGTGTATAGATCACTCATTACGGATAGTATTCCAGAAGCACCAAAAAAGACGAATGCATTGACGATCATCAGCCAATACAAATCGACCCAGGGAGTAATCAGTAGAGCAAAGGAACATACAACGATCATCATTATGATCCCTGGTCGCAATTTTAACAAACCACGATCTATGATAGGACCAGCAAAGATCTTAAAAGTCAAGTTGCCGACCCCTGCGGCCGTGGTGAATGTCACGGCATCACACGCAGAGAAGCCTTTTGCTTGTGCTTGAGAGACGTAAAACAACAGCCACTGGTTGCTTACAAACTTGTCAATAGTGAACACGACAGTTGGTATCCAAAAGGAGACCTTGAAAAAAACGGAGAAGCCGAAATGTTTCATTTGCGCGCTTAGGGCGTCTTTGAAGGAGCGAAGTCGTGACTGCTTCGTTTTGTCGGTTTCTTCATCTTCTGCGCCAGGGCTCACTTGCTGATAGGTGGCGTTCGTCTGTGTTTCATCAGTCGATGGTGAACGCAAGAGGGCGCCACAGACCCCAAGATGCAGGCTAAACCCTCCCAGAATAAGCAAGGCACCTCTCCAGCCGTACGTATCCAACAACAATTGGGTAAATGGCCCGACGACGATCAGGGCAAACGCCAATCCCGAAAATCCAATACCGCTGGCAGTGGCATAGTTTGTGGTAAAACAACGACCGATGACGCCCCTTGTTGTAATGTTGATGAAATTTAGCCCAGGTCCTGAAGGGAAGCAAAACAATGAAGAGTTCAATTTATAACCAAGTTTTCGTGAGCCTCGTTTACATCCTCATATTTTTTTTCAATACTCGCATGTAGTGTAATATTACATGTTTGATCGGTATGACGTTAGGCTTCGAAAAACGTGTGTTTTCAGGTCTCATTCCACGACGAATTGATTCCGTCTGTATCCTGGACACCGTATATAAAAACAAACACCGATTTCAAGCATAGCCAGGCACCAGAATATTCCGCACCTATACTATAATACGAAAGATTTTTGAACTTGCAAATGATCGTGTACCCTGGCGAGAAAGCAGCTAGCTAGTGGAAGCGTACTGCTCAACGCAATTCGGTTGATTGAGGTTAGATTTTCTTTCTCAAGTTTCTCTAAACACAGTGCCTTGCATACAATAGCGTTATGGATAAAGACAAAATAATGAAGAAGGTCATCTCGATTGGATTCTCTATTTGGAGTCTTTGTAGAATAGATGTATTCAATTTGTAATCTATCGTCAGAGAATGTCAAAACTCGATCCTCCAAACATTATTACCAGCTATGAATGCCAGAGTTACGGTCAACATGACGACATTGGTGGTAAATGAAGCGACGATTATAGATGCCCCAACCATGAAACCGCTCACCGTCACCAGAGTGCGGGTACCAAGCATCACCTCCAGTGGCCTAGTAAAGATACCTAAGCGTGAATAAAAGTGGAAATAAAATAAAATCATGATTGTTTTCAACATTTGGTAGTTTTCCCCTACCGTAGGGGCTAAATCACCGTCAGCCCATAAATCATAGCCATGCAGGCGAAGTTTGATCATGCACTCTATATGCACATTACCGCTGTAGGCCTATACATTTGTACCACGGGAGGATCTAGCTTTCAAGAAACGGGGGGGGGGGGGGGGGGGGCTGACATGCAGGGGGGGGGGTGAGTGAAGGCGTACCGAAACCGGACACGCCCTACTAGGAGGGTCCGAAGGCTTTCCCCGAAATTTTTGAAAGCTATGATGCTTTCTCCTGCATTTTGCAATTTAAGAATAAATTTAGGAACTTTAGCAGTCCATTTATTATTTTTGGCCCCATTTTAATAGTATCATAGCATTAGTCAGCGGCTGAACTGGGTGGTTGCAACCCCTAACCCCCTCTAGATCAACTACTGGTGTATTATAAAGCGAAACAAGTGGGCGGGCCGTCACCGCGTTATGGGAAGTTTTCTTTTATTGTTTGGCAAATTAGGACCGAGTTATGGGGACTTTCGATCTGCTGTCCCCAGTGTCTTCGGTTCCCATAGTAACATGGGACAACTCGTGTGTAGTCCCCACTACGGAACAAGTATACGCATGTTTCTGGTGTAAATCGAGGAAACACAGTCATGTGAAACACATCGAGTAATCGAGGAGTGGAGTCAAATCGAGGACAAACATCGAGGAAGCAGTACAATAGAAAATCCTCGATTTTACACCATCAAAAACAAACCTGGGTGAGGGTGTGATGTTTGTGTATTGAAGATGGTCGGCGAGGCGGCGAAGCAACATGATCAAGAATAGTGGAGCTGCTTAGGTCCATAGTTTTGGCCCAAATCGTGCACTTTGTGGTAAAAGCATGAAAGTTGGCAGGTGGGGTCCAAATGGGCTAGAATTCATTTTAAGATCGGGACCCATCCTGGATCTTGCCCATTTTGGGGGCGGAGCTTGATTTTTTTTTAAAAAGGGGGTGCAAACAATACAAACTCATAAAAACTGTATTTAACATCCATTTTCCTTGTTTTTCTATGGTTTGAAATAAACTTAAACATAAAATATAACATTCTAGCATTCGAACACCAGTTAATTTCCACCCATTTTGTGGGCGTGGCCTAAATGTACAAAAGAGGCGGTATATATTAACATTATTAATATAAATTTGGTTCTAATATGGAAAACATTATTCGGTTTGGTAGTAAAATCCTGAAAATTGGCAGGGCCAGTTAAAATGGGCTGAAAATAATTTTAAGAGGTTGGATCTTGCACAATTTTGGGGGGCGGAGCTTGATTTTTCAAAAAGGGGAGTGCAAAAAATAAAAAACTCAGAAAAACTGTATTTAACATCCTTTTCCCTTTGTTCTTCATGCTTAAAATAAACTTAGACATGAGAAATAACTTTATGAGAAATAACACGTTAAAATTGTGCAGCAGCAGGATTCCAGTCGAACCAGTGAGTTTGGTGGTTTGAGACATCATCTTACATTGAAAGACATCATCTTACATTGCCGACGCGCATGGCTATGGCGACGCGCGCGCATACCAGAAACCAGAGCCTTTTTTGGCCTAATAATCGTTTACTTCGTTTTGTATGAATAAAAAGGAGTAAATGCTTCAGATTTCAAATATGCACTTGTCATTTACAAGGCTGGGTTGGGGCAACCTTGATATTATAAAGCAAAATAATTCTGCGCAAAAAACTACTGCATTTATTAATGTTAATCGCGAAAAAGTACAAATAATACCATACGGTAGTTCGTATGAATAAAAACTGGCATTTGCAATACTCCCATCTGTATGAATAAAAATTAATCAAATTAATCATAAAGTACAAACGATACCATATGTCTGTATGAATAAAGCATGGCATTTGCTTTTTCTACCACTTTCGAAGCATTTACTCGCATCTGTATGAATGAAAATTAAGCAAACACTTTTACTAAAAACCATTTGCTAAAATCTGAAAATAATTAGTTTTTACCTTTTAGGTTTTGCTACACTATAAGCGTTTACTAGTATGAATATAAAAGAAGTAAATGCTTCAGATTTCAAATATTTACTTGTCATATTTCTGAAGTCCTTTATCTACAGAATCGTAACGTTTCGGTACTAACACAACCAGCAAGCACACACACGTGAGTACGCACTGTACGCATGGTGTAAATAAGGCAGTAAATGTAGGCCTACTATGTTCTGCGTGTGGGTGTACGTACGTACGTGTGGGGGATATACGCGCCGCGTGGCCTGTCGTTGGGTTACGCGGACTAGCTCATGCATGTACAATGTACTGTGTGTGCATGGCTGTTGTACGAGTACGTGTGTGTACTTGCGTACGTACATGTACAAGCATAGCCGCTTGCTGTATGGTACTAGTTACTTTCTCACTAGTGTAAGACCGAAATTTAGACTGACCCTGAGCACACATCCCTGATACCACTCTCACAACAGGTGTTCCACATTACACCCAAGGTCTTCACGTCACTCTTTTCCAAGCAATACACCCACAGCATACCAAGACTGTGATTTAACCCTTGTACAGGGGAAAGTGACCTCATAAGGGTACTCCCCCGACTGACCATTACGTCAGTCTATGGTCAGTCTACCTTTACTCAGAAATGATGTCATATAAGTTATGTTTTCCTTATATGACATCATCTCCTATTTTCACTCCAAGTGGTCCCTCTGAAACTGTATAAAATGTCCCCATTTTCCCACTTTCATTGAGTTCTTCTTCTTCTCCCTGGGAAACCAGAGGCATAGCCATAAGCTGATTCAGCCCTATGCTCTGGCCAGTCTTCATCTACAAAACTCTTCAGAACCTCTGTCTTCTGTCTCCAACTTCCGTATTCTAGTACCCAGCCATACCCATAAGCTGACGCAGCCGTATGGTCTGAGGTTATAGTTCTGTACATACACAATACCGGTAGAATATTGAGTTCTTGAAAATAAACCAGTTTTCCATATAGCTGAGCTCATAGTCATTACCAGTGTGTCTTTGTATAGTCTTCGTAGTCATCTGTTCATCCTGCTCTTAGCCACAGCTACCCTATCCTAACATATAGTATAGTCAAACAACCCAAAGACTATAGCCAAATCCATATGTTACACTAGCAGCGTACGGGCATCGATATGTGCACGCAATTATGCCTTGCCAAGTTGATTAGGGATTTTTATCGGGGTTTTTTTTTTATCGGCGAATCGATAAGCCCAACGCCTTGGTCAAGGCTAATGAAAATTAAGCAAACACTTTTACTAAAAACCATTTGCTAAAATCTGAAAATAATTAGTTTTTACCTTTTAGGTTTTGCTACACTATAAGCGTTTACTGGTATGAATATAAAAGAAGTAAATGCTTCAGATTTCAAATATTTACTGTCATATTTCTGAAGTCCTTTATCTACAGAATCGTAAGTCCGATTGGGTTGAAACTTGGTATGTGGCCAGACCGGGATGTGTTATAGGTAAAAAAATGAAGTGACGTCATGATGACGCCATCCTGAGATTTTATATGAATACATGTATTTGAATTTTTGGACCGTTTAGCCATATCTCACGAACGCAACATGCAATGTTAAAAATTCTTTTTGTATTTGGTTTGTTAGGTGATAGGTATTTGCACAACATTTGTGAAAAACTTGGGTAGGTAGATAATGGTACTAGCAGCAAAGTCCGAAGTGACGTCACGATGACGTCATCGTTTGATTTTTTAAATGATTTTAAAAATATTTATGATTTTATTCTGCTTCCAAAATTGCAAAAGCTACAGCATTTATTATATGTTAATCACGAAAAATTAATATTAACAAAGTTCATAAAGTACAAATGATATACATGTACCATGTTCGTATGAATAAAACATGGCATTTGCTTTTACTTCCAATTTCGAAGCATTTACTCGCATCTGTATGAATGAAAATTAAGCAAACACTTTTACTAAAAACCATTTGCTAAAATCTGAAAATAATTAGTTTTTACCTTTTAGGTTTTGCTACACTATAAGCGTTTACTAGTATGAATATAAAAGAAGTAAATGCTTCAGATTTCAAATATTTACTTGTCATATTTCTGAAGTCCTTTATCTACAGAATCGTAAGTCCGATTGGGTTGAAACTTGGTATGTGGCCAGACCGGGATGTGTTACAGGTAAAAAAAAAATGAAGTGACGTCATGATGACGCCATCCTGAGATTATATATGAATATTTGAATTTTTGGACCGTTTAGCCATATCTCACGAACGCAACATGCAATGTTAAAAATTCTTTTTGTATTTGGTCACGATGACGTCATCGTTTGATTTTTTAAATGATTTTAAAAATATTTATGATTTTATTCTGCTTCCAAAATTGCACACTTTCTTTCACACTTGGTTCAAACCAAGACCACAATGACAAAATGTGTATTGAGAAGGGTTTTAAAGATGACGTCATTGCAGGGCATGTGACGTCATGTGATAAAATTATATTTTAGGAATTATTCTAAGCATTTGAACAACCTTTAACTGCATGAAGCACTCTGACAAGTGACTGCAAAAGGACCAACGAAACATAAACATTTGTAAAATGCGAAAAGCCCTGTGTTCTGTTTGCAAACAGACATGGTATCTTTTTTTTATTTCATCTTATTTTTAATATGACGTCACGTGACATGTGACGCCATATTAAAATTGCATATTTTGAAGGCCAATATCTACAGAACCACTGGTCCGATTGGGTTGAAAGTTGGTATGTACCTAGACCGGGATGTGTTATAGATGAAAATTGAAGTGACGTCATTATGACGTCATAATGGGTTACGTGACGTCTCGTTAAAGATTAATAGATTTGATCTTTAAAAATCAATATAAAATCAACCGTGAGAGACCTGAACATGATTTTCGTGGTATATGATAGAATTATCGAGGGTCTTCATTTTTTATATTATGTGCAAAATCACGTGACCCTTTCTTCC